ACCTGGTTGACTCAATAGAGCTAAATACAAAGCACTACGTCGATGTCCTTTCCAAAGCCGTGGACAAGATCATGCCACAGCCCAGCACGGATGTCAGGTAAGGGGGGGTGACGATGGACATGGACAACACTCCCATTGCCGCTAACACAAGCCCAGCTTCAAGGATGATGTTCTCGATGTTTTGATGGCTCGTCGCCAAGCCCGTAACCGCGAACTTCAGGAAGCCGCAGAGCGTGACCCTACTGCCGAGGACGACCAGTTTCCTGCCGAGCTTACTCGGCGGTACACTCTGGTTTTCAAACCCAGATCGCGGACCGCTGAAGAACCTACCAAGGCTTTGGCTGTCCGCCAAGTCAGAGGTGACCACATAGGCCACCTGATTACGGTCCGGGCTATTGCCACGCGCGTGTCCGATGTGAAGCCCATTGTTCAAGTCAGTGCTTATACGTGCGACAGCTGCGGATGCGAGATCTTCCAGCCCATTACTGATAAGCAGTACGGGCCGCTGACAATGTGCCCGTCCCAAGACTGCAAGGCAAACCAGGCCAAGGGCCAACTCAATCCCTCCACCAGAGCATCCAAATTCCTGCCCTTCCAAGAAGTCAAGGTCCAAGAAATGGCTGAGCAGGTTCCCATTGGCCAGATTCCTCGCTCCCTGACCGTCCTGTGCTATGGCAGCCTTGTACGAAAGATTAACCCTGGTGATGTCGTTGACATCTCCGGCATCTTCTTGCCTACTCCCTACACAGGCTTCAAGGCTATGAAGGCTGGTCTCCTGACCGACACTTACCTCGAGGCTCACCACATCCACCAGCACAAGAAGGCCTACAGTGAGATGATTGTCGACCCACGGCTGGTGCGACGCATCGACAAGTATCGACAGACTGGCCAAGTGTACGAGCTACTTGCCAAATCTATTGCCCCCGAAATTTACGGACATCTGGATGTTAAGAAGGCTCTGCTGCTCTTGCTTATTGGTGGTGTTTCCAAAGAGATGGGCGATGGTATGAAGATTCGCGGCGACATCAATATTTGCTTGATGGGTGATCCTGGTGTTGCCAAGTCTCAGCTTCTCAAGTACATTTCCAAGGTTGCCCCGCGCGGTGTATACACCTCTGGTCGTGGAAGCAGTGGTGTCGGTCTGACGGCTGCTGTCATGCGAGACCCTGTGACGGATGAGATGGTTCTTGAGGGTGGTGCTCTTGTTCTTGCTGACAATGGCATCTGCTGTATCGACGAGTTTGACAAGATGGATGATACCGACAGAACAGCCATTCACGAGGTCATGGAACAGCAGACCATTTCCATTTCCAAAGCCGGCATCTCGACAACTCTCAATGCTCGCACGTCCATCCTGGCGGCGGCTAACCCCATCTATGGGCGATACAACCCCCGTATTTCTCCCGTTGAGAACATCAACCTCCCTGCTGCGCTTTTGTCTCGTTTTGACGTACTTTTCCTTCTTCTCGATACCCCATCCCGCGAAACAGACGAGCAGCTAGCAAAGCACGTCGCCTTTGTTCACATGAACAACCGCCACCCCGACATTGGCACCGACAATGTCGTCTTCACACCTCACGAAGTGCGCTCATATGTAGCCCAAGCACGAACGTACCGCCCTGTTGTCCCTGAGTCCGTCTCCGATTACATGATCAAGACATATGTCCGCCTCCGAGACCAGCAGCAGCGAGCGGAGAAGAAGGGCAAGCAATTCACCCACACTACCCCGAGAACATTGCTCGGCGTTGTCCGTCTCGCTCAGGCCCTTGCTCGCCTCCGTTTCAGCAACCAGGTTTCCCAGGACGATGTTGACGAAGCATTGCGCCTGGTCGAGGCCAGCAAGGAGAGCCTCAACGCCGAAGTCAACACTGGCCGCCGCGGCCTCAACGCCAGCAGCAGAATTTACAATCTCGTCAAGGCACTCGCTGATTCTGGCGCCTGTCGTGCTGACGACGCCGAAGATGACGACCTTGGTGTGGAGTTGAGCATGCGCAAGGTCAAGGAGCGCGTGATTGCAAAGGGCTTTACGGAGGATCAGTGGCTCAATGCCCTGGACGAATACACAACGCTCGATGTGAGTATAGCAAAATTATCGGGGGGACAAAGATCGAGGCTAACGAGGAAATCTAGGTATGGCAAACTACTGGTAGTGGTGCTAGATTGGTATTCGTCACCGCTGGTAATGATGACGAGGACAACATGGATGATTAAGGGGTGGGATTCATTCAAAAAAAATTTAAAAATTTTTGGCTTTTGGTTGGGTATGGCGTTTTGGGATATATCGGTGTCGGGAGAGGGACCCGGAGAGGCCATGCTGTTATGAGAGCAATCCACGATTCAAGCTCCATCGCGCTACACGCGTTGTATGATGTTTGGCCATTCCTTGGAGAGCCTAAAATGTTTACGACGTGTGATTAATCTGCTAGAGTTAAACAATACTTCCTAATCCTGGCAGGACATGGTTATTATACATGACGAGTGAGCATAGAAATTTGAGTGTACGATTGCATAAGAACGGATCAAATATCCAGCTCCAAGAGATAATCAACGCATGCTTAGTACAAGCATGAAATCTAGTAGAAGGGACTGTAACCAGATGATTTGATTTGCCGGGACAATTGGAAACAGAATCGTGCATGTCGGGTCACTCAGGTGGTACTGAAAAAGTCCGATACTGCCGCACGTCTCCTCCGTTAACCTCTCAAACGCGGATCGATTATGTTCAGTCAGGCAAAATCTGCAGACGCCGATGCTTTCCTGCCTTCCGAGCGCGAATCCCGTAGCCGTCTTTACTTAGACAGCATAATCACATGTAGATGGCTTCTCGACATCACCCCAGCACCACAAGCAACTCCGCCAAAGGTGAAATGGCCGACCACTCATGACGCTTGCAGGGACCTCAAGTCTCTGCTGACTGCTAAACCCCGGCGACCATCAACAGGTAGGCTTCTCTTCCCCAAAATAGGCCGGCCAGTCTTTCATCCAAGGTCAAACGCCACGCTACTCAACAAATATACTCCTCATACGGTGTATTGGCGTTGTATAGTACAAGTTACAAATATATAATTTACATCCTCATCGTCATCAGCGACACCCTCTCCATCTCACCGACGATGCCATGCCCGCCAAGAGCCCACTTCTCCGTCACGGTACTTGTATTCAAGACGCTGCGCAGCATACCACTTGCGCCCCAGTACTCCATCAACGCCCTCCCCTCATCCTTGGACACGCCTCCGATTCGAAGAACGTAACTGTTCTTGAGCGACTCGTACACGCGTTCGTCGTACTTCCTCTCGTAGGGATCAGGCTTGGGGATCTCGCGACCGGCCTGGCCGGCCTCCAGTTGCGAGAGGACGAGCTCCTGCGAAGGATGGTAGTGTGTGTTGTTGTCGGATGTGGCGGCGACAATGGCACCGCCGTTGGGGAGCTTCGTCTTTCCCGAAAGCGCGTCGACAAAGAGACGCACCAGCGACAACTCGTGGGCATGCACCTGGTTGAATGACGAGTCACGGTACTCGCTCATCTTGTTGATGTGCGCAAGGCCGTCGAGGGCGAGGAGCACTGGCGGCCGGCCCGGCAAGGTGAGTTCCGTCCAGAGGGCTTCGAGCGTCGGCCAGGCGTTTTCGCTTTCCTTGGCGCTGAGGACCAGGTCGGCTACTGTGGCACCCTGCTTGAGGTGGGTGAAGCGTGACCAGTCCTTCTGGAGGGCAAGTTTCTCCAGGACAGCCTTGTTGGCTTTGTAAATGTTTTGGAGGAGCTTGAGGGTGTAGACGGGCTGGGCGAACTGCATGGGCTCGGTGCCTTCAACGGGGGAGTATTCGGTGTTGGCGTTGGTAAGGTCCTGGCCTATTTTCACAATCACCTCTCATTAGCAAGCTGGAATAACCCCAGGTCGTATGAGACGCTGCCCTACCTTCGGGAATGTGCACAACAACCCAGTCATTCATCAAAGCATACGACATGGACTGCAGCAGTGCCAGGCTCTTTCCAGACAGCTTGCTCCCCGTGAGCACACATTTCAATGCTTCCTTCTTTTCTATAGATTTTTCCATCTTGATCACCAATTGGGCAGTTTCCTCCCTCACCAGGAAATGCGGCCGCCTAAACAAGTTCCACGTCTGTGTTGTTTTGAATGCTTCCAGAGCTCTCAACTGGTCGACCACTTTATCCGGCAGGGCAAACATCTTGCCCTTGCTCTCTAAATTTGCCATAGTCTCCGGCGTTAACTCGTCAATGTTCCGCACTGGCAAAGCACTATTGTTGCTTAGTTGGATGCGCTTGCGGAACGCCTTGCGCTCTCCGGGATTGGGTTTCTTGACGGCCACCACATTGGTCTTTTTTTTGAACGTTCGCTTGACCTTTTTCGGGAGATCTCTTCGGGATTTTATCGTCGGAGGAGGCGCAGCGGCCCTAGCGCTCGTGGTTGATAAGAATGCTACTCGAGAGAGGATAACGGGATGGATGCGAGGCGCGAGGGGGATCGAGGGCCTGACGAGGCTGCGGAGGGAAGAGGTTGCCGACGATGCCATGATGGTCAAATGAGACATCATCTCAGCTAGAGAACTGTTGCGGGATGTGGTGTTATTGCCACATGGAGGCCAATTGGGCCTGGCGATGTCGTGGAGGTACGCTCTCCTCAGAGAACGGGAGAGCTGCGAAGGTTTGTAGCAAAAATCTCCCGAAAGTTGTACAGCCGCCGATTGGTCCACCCGTGCAGCTCGCAGGGGTCGTCACTACGCATCACTGGCACGCGAACAAAAGCCCGGAAATTTTCACGCCGTTGATCCGGCGCCAGCATCTGGCTATCGCTCTTATCGGCCGCCAAAAATTTAGGTGGGTCCAATTCTCAAGTTCAAAAAAGTTGGTAATGCGAACGACAGAATCCGTACAACAAAGCTGCTTAAAGAGTACTTCAGCAACAACCACCACAAAGGCAGCGCTTCTTTGTTTAGAATCTCGTCACTGCAATACCAATCAGCTACTCTCCATCAACAGTCACAATGGCCCTCCCTGGCACGAGGCCCAAACTTCCCGTATCCGTGGATAAACCCACCCCGTATACTTTCGACCTCGGTCTCCTGCTCGCCGAAGACCCCAATGCCATCACCCTCGACCGCTCCTCGCTCGAACAGTCCCTCGCAGAAGTTGCCCGAGATGGCGCCCAGTCTCTCATCAACCAACTCCTCACCACCTGTCCCATCAGCTCAACCAACGATGGTGTGCTTCTCTCCTTGCCCGCCCCATCAACCGCCTTACCGCGTGAGAAGCCTCTGCCGGAAGCGAAAGCCAAGACGAAGTGGGAGCGCTTCGCCGAAAAGAAGGGTATCAAGGCCAAGACTAGAGAGCAGCGAAGAAACCTGGCATATGACGCGGAGAGTGGCGAATGGAAGCGCAAGTGGGGATACAAGGGTCTCAATAAAAAGGGTGAGGATTATCCCATCATGGAGGTAGATATGGAGAAGGAGAGGGAGAGGAAGGAGGGAACTAGCATTAGAGGTGACGGCCGAAGGGAGAGGAAGGAGAAAATAAAGCGCAACGAGAGAAAGATGAGGAAGAATCAGAGAGATGCCTTGAGCGCTAGGTAAGGCTGATGGAGACCGGGGGGGGGACATGTGAACTTTTCGACAAATTTATCGGTCAGGAACATGTGAAATTGGAACCTGACGGGCTATCCGAACACTCATCGGTGTGTTATCATAGCGTCTGGTCACAAAGTCGGAGTCTGGAGTTGAATCATATTTAGACGGCCCTACCTACGCAGTCACAAAAGTTTTAGAGCAATGCTCTACAAACTCAAGACAAAGCAATATCATATTTTCGCCAAAATTCTGCTTCTGTGTGATTTTAATTCCCATTACCGGTACCTCGACCATCTATACCCGCCTCCGCTCTCTCTTGTTGTCCTTTTGTCTTCTCCGATATTGCTCCTTCAGCCATGAATATACTCCAACCAACACCTCCTTGACTATTATACACAGAACCCGAATGTTCTCTTTTTGTGCCCTTCACCGTCATTGCCCTGGAAAAATCCTTTGCTTTGGGCTGATGATGAATGCGCGAAAGCCCTGGCCACATGATTCTCGAGCATTGAACCTTCAATTTCTGCCACAACCGCCACTGTCTGTCAGGCTCTGAACCGCCACAAAAATGTATCTCGTCTCCATTCTCGGGTGTCGATTAAAACTAGTAATTTTAACAAGTACGGTTAAACACGATGACCTAATCCAGTATCAAAAAGCATAAAACAAAAATTTGCAAATTGCGTGGTATATGAAGACTGAAGCCGGTAACCACATCCACTCCGTCTTATAATGTGATGATGCGATGAAGGGTATACCAAACAGCCGACTAGTTTGATAGGCTGCGTCGAAATGGGGGAATTGATGCGCTGTAGAACAACTTGGTTCGCCGCCAGTGAGGAGAGGCAGAAAAGGAAAATGCGTAGGAAACCAAGTTGGGGGGGGTCAACAATGAGACCCGTCGTAAAGGCGTTAAATGACGAAGAGACGAAGAAAACAATACATGAATGAGAGCATGCACTGCACAAATTGTATCGAGAAAAAAATCGCGATGGCCGGCTCGCATGCCACGGGGTCGGCCCTAGCAGTCATTCCATCCCTAAAAGCCGATGGGGGACAGAGGTTTAATTGGTGACAATGGGCGAAGCTGCCTTGTCGTCTCTTGCGGTTCACGCTCACTATTAGTGGTAACATTGGTTGAGATTGTTGAGATTCTGGACCCAATACTCGCATTGGAGCCAGAGAATTGACGTTGGAGCACCCTGTTGCTATTGTCATAATCGGAGGGTTTGTTGCTATCAGTTGACGACAGCTGACGATCGTTGTGTTCGTCTATATGTGAAGGGCCATTGGGTACGGTTATGCCTCTAGGCGGGGGTTGATCGAAAAGTCTGTATTCTTCTTCGATGAACTTTGCCTCATTCTTGCAGCCTATCCAGCAATCACTCCAATCACACACCAGAAACTTGAAGCAAAAGGCATCAATCTTCATGCATGGTTGGAAACAGATGCACAGATTCCTAAAGTCCATCTTGTTCTTATCGGAACGAGATAAGAGTAGACTCAGGTGACAGGTGATGGCAAAGAGGAGGTAGTAGTTAAAGGGTGACAAGTTGGACAATTCTTCAACAAGTAATTGTGGCACCTTGGTTGCCCCCGAGCACTCGCGAGCGATCCGGTCTTGCGCCGCTTTGGGGAACAATTCGTCTGGAAGTTCACGTAGCCATGCCTTGAGCATAGAGCCAATGATGTTGATATCGTAGAGGTCATCGTCTTTGAACAAATCAACGTCGTACCCTAGGGGAATTGTTAACGAATGTCAAGACGGTTACCAATGGTGAGATATGGGATAGCTTACGTTCGTCAAACTTTCTCTGCCACTTCTTGATTTGCGGGCCACTTCCAGGAACTCGGTATAAACCTTCGACATCGCAACCCTTGTGATTTAAATAATCAATGGCTCGCCAAGGGAAAGCCGGCATCCAAAACTCCGTCTTATCTTTCGAGGTCTCTAGACGCTTGGCAATGCGCGTTATCCGAGTCTGTTCCACTAGGGGGAGGTTGAGAACTTTGAGGATATAGTGTTCATCGTCTACAGCGTGTTCCCGTTCCGTCGTGCTTCCGCTTCTTGAGCTCTTGCCAAAGAGCCCTTTACTAATTATATCAGCAGCCCTAGTGGAGGAACTCCGCAGCCCGCCAAAAAACCCGGAGCCATTCTCTTTTAGAGATGACGGAAGAGCACCCTTCTCCTTGTCTCGCGACGAGTCACGGCGAGCGGCCCTGTCCTCTGATCGATTCCGTGCACTCGAATTCATCATATCTCTGAATGCTCGGTCTTGGGCCACGGGGGCGGTCCGGAGAGGCATAGCGTTGTCGTAATTCTCGTTTCGGCCTAGAGTAGCAGGAGCAAGGACTGGCGCGGCCTTTAAATTGTTGTTCCGATCTTTGTCCCTATGGGACCTGGTTCTACTCAACAACCCGAATGACTTCGTCTTACTCCTCTTGCCGCCTGGCGAATGGGCAGATGTGCCGTCGCAGTCTCCAGCGGACGACAGTGATAGCTCGGATCGGGATGGTAGCGGAGGCTTCTGCAGGTATTCTTGTGTATATGGAAAATCTATCAGAATCAAATCATGTTAGCAAGTCTACCTGTCCCAGTGTCGAGCCATTTGGGGGGGATAAAGGAACAGCAAGCATGCCGGGACAAGCCAAATATTGGCAATGAGAGGGCTTCCTCGTCCATTCGGTCACTGTTCTCGTGTTTCTCCTGGGCACGCTCAAGAGCAAGAGCCGGATGAGTATCATACTTTCAGACTTTGGCGCACGTGGCTCTTCGGGACCTCTGGTAGCCAAATATTCCTGCGAATCCGAGAGCTGCGGGCAGGGGTTTTGCGGGAGTTGGTTCGAACTCTTGGAGGACTTATTGAAGTGGAAAAAGCCACTCTTGGTCGACGGCCGCTTCTCTGCGTCGGAGGTGACCTGACGGAAGGCTGGGGAGGCAGATCCCGAAATCTGGTCGTGGTATGGAGGGGACTGTTCGTGCTGAAGTTGAAGTTGGGGTGGACGAGGTTGGTTCGTCTCGTGGCCCAAAGTCAGCATATGCCCCCTCCCAGTCTGCGAAGCCTGCGAAGTCTGCGGTCGTTTGGTGGCGGCAAAGCGACTGGTCAAGGATACAGAAGGTTGGGAGCGAGAGTGAGATTGTGACTGAGAAAGCTCCGACTGGAGGGAGTGCTGTGACGGCTGCGACTGCAGTGACAGTGGCAGCGAAGGCTGCAGCGAGACAGGTGGCCTTGGGTGGATGGGCGATACGTTGGCAGTTTGCACGGCCGTTTCAGCAGTCGATTCGATGCATGCGGCAGTACCAGTCCTCGTCGCTTGCGCCGTTGCCCCCAAACCGAAGCCGGTGGCTGCTGCTGCGGTTGCGCCAGTTGCTCCAAGACGGTGGCCGCGATTGTGTGTGCTTCGGATTGAGTTTGCGCTCGTGTTGGCCTTTGTGCTGCCCAGAGGCAGTGGCTGCGGCGTGGGCCGGCGTCCCATGTTGATGTCGACAATCGGGGCTCTCGACTCTCTGCTGCCTCAATCCTCGACGTCGCTTAGAAATTGCCGGGCGGCGCAGCAGTGAGCGGCCTGAATCAGTTGCAAGATTCCGGTCTGGAGGACCAGACTCGAGACGGCGCCAGGGGCAGGGTGAAATTGGTCAGGTCAACAGTGCCCAGCGCCTGTGTGTACTTTACCTGAGCAGGTGGCCTATAGGCTGTTGGGGGTAGGCTGTAGTAGCCTGTAGCCAGTGGCCCAGTATCCGGTTAGCCCGTGGTCTCAAGTCCCTGGGGTTCACCCTGCAGCTGTAGCCAGTGGCCGGTGGCCGCTGCGGACGACCGGGTAGCAGTGTTGCGCTTTATTTTTTTTTTTTTTTAATTCGCCCTGGTTGTGTCGAGTCAGCGTGGTAGTTGCCGTCCTTTTGCTTCCGTACAATAGGGAGTACGGAGTACTCCAGCTGTCGAGGGCTGGGCGCTAGTTGAGGTGGCCCGAGGGATGGGATTAGGATGGATCAGAATGGATCAGCATTAATCAATGCCCGTGAATTGTCCGTCAATGCCAGGACCGAAGGGGGTGGGGTCCAGGTTCAAGCCTCAATACAAATGTTGTCAATGTGCCTGCCTCCCTGTGTCGCTCGTGCCTGAATCGATTTGCTCCGTAGGCTTCTAAAGTTGGTATCGTCTCGTGTGATGCAGCCACGGGCCCGGCCACACAGAGTTGGCAAAGGGGTCGGAAGGGGCCCTGCTCCGGCGTGGCTCGCAGCGTCCGCAGACGACAAAGAACCAAGAGGCTGCGGTGTGCTGTTTAATGTCGTGCGACGGGATGACTGTGTGGGTGTGAAAAGAAAGGCCTAGTTCTCCGTTCTCCGTGCTGAGAGTACAGACCGTCCGTCTGGTAATCGCAGAGGGATGCGAACCCGATGCGCCGCTGGTTCGCCGCTTATCTGTTTATCTGTTGGTTCTGTCTCGCCTGGTCCTGCCCTGTCTTGCTTTAGGCAAATTGTCAATCCGTGCCTTCCCTTTATCAGTGCCTAGACAACAAGCATGGCCCAGCATTCAATGAAGCATACGCAGCACCAGTGCTTCGTACTCTTCACGCGGTAGGATGATCCGAGATGAGCCAGCGATCAGTCAGCCAGCCGTCAACCAGCAAGGGGGCTGTCAGCGCCAAGACAGGACAAAAGGACGAGAGCGCTTTGAGCAGCCTGGCGAGGACAGGAGAAGCCTGAGTGGGGTTCCGGAGTTGGATCGAGACTGGCTGGTGACTTTGTCCGTCTCGTCTGGCTGTCAAAGTCATCAGAATACTCAACGAAAGCTCGCCAACAAAGGGCTTATCCAGGGCGAGACGGTGGGCGAGGTTCAGCTTGTTCCTCAGACAGGAGGAGTGTACGGTTCACATTTACGATGAAAGCACCCGGTTGAGAGGAGAGGGATTCAAATGCAAACAAGAGGTCCGCCCGCAAACAATCTGATGTGGCATGGACTGTGTGCCAGTCGTCCATCCGCTTGAGCCTTTTGTCTTGGGCCTTGGGGTCTTTGGGCCTCTGGAGCATCATCTCTCCCCTCGCCCCATCCAACCATAAACGATCCGTCATTCGCCGTACACCAGGTGGCACATGTTGACATAAATTGCCGGCAACGGCTAGACGACGGCTCGTTGAACGAAGTCCATTATCCCGATGCTAGCACAGATGGCTCCAGGTGACCAAAAGCTGGTGCTTGGCTCCACTGCTCGTCCCCGAAACGATGGCCGTCTAGCCATCTGAAACAACGTGTTGTACCAGTCCCATCCGCTTGTGCAGACAGGGACTAGTCCAGGGGTGCCAGGGTGCATGGCCAACATTTGAACCAGCATGGCTTTATGTGGAGATGGGCCCCCTAAGGCTAAGCAGAGGAGTTGCGTTTACTCATCCTGTCATTGTCGTGTTGGTCACTGTGGTGGAATATTCTTGCCCAACAAGAAGTACATATGCACAAAGATACTATAACAGTATATCATAGTATAGAACACGGTATCGAGGTGTCTGGTCTGGTCAAATACTTTTTATCTTTGGTTGTATTCTGCTTAAGCAGTTAAATACCAGACATAAACCTATCAAGTAAGAAGGCGCTGTTTCTACTACGTACCTAGGTCTAAGTACTTAACTTTAGTAACAATGCCAGACGCTAAGTACTTAAGTTAGGTACCTAAGTAGGTATGCAGAGTACGAGCCCTTACGGAGTATGTACCTACCTTCTTAAGTACTTAAGTACCTAAGTAGGTAGGTACCTACATACCTCTCAAAGGAAGCACGGAGTATGTAAAGTAGTCAGGTAATTGAGTACGCATCCCCCTCTTTCCGAATTCATTTTCATTTCTTTTCTACTTTGTGGAAGAAATAAAAGCGGTATGCCCGTTGCTTTCTATCAATCCTCCGGTGAACTTGCGTGGCAAAGCAGAATGCTCCCAAACTCTCATCAGTCGTTTGACTTGATTACCTAAGCTTGCCGCAAGGGCAGTTCTCGGGTTGTCTGCTGCCTCAAATTTCTCTGATCCACAACAGCTTCAACTTCTCTTGTTGCCCAGCACCATGGTTCACGAAGGCACAACCACAGAGAGCCTGGCCCTTGCCGTGCAGGCACATGTGAAATATGTGCAGAGTCTTGATACCAAGAAGGATGAGCTGGACTATTGGCTGACCGAGCATTTGCGGCTTAATGGTGTTTACTGGGGCCTTGTTGCCCTTCACCTGCTTGGACAACCCGACGCCCTCCCCCGGCAAGAAACGATTGATTTTGTGTTCTCATGCCAACACGAAAATGGGGGATTTGGCGCCGCCCCAGGACACGATGCTCACATGCTGTCCACAGTAAGTGCTGTGCAGATTTTAGCAATGGTCGACGCCTTGGATGATCTCGATGCGCGGGGACATGGCAAAGCCAAGGTTGAAAAGTGTAAGTGACCCCAAAGCCTCGAGTGTCTAGGTATCGCTCTAACGTGAGAACAGATATTGCAGACTTGCAGGATTCCAATACCGGCAGCTTTTATGGCGATGAGTGGGGTGAGGAGGACACCCGATTTCTCTACGGTGCGTTGAACGCGCTATCGCTCCTCGGTGCCCTATCTCGTATCAATCTTGACAAGGCGGTGTCACACATTCAAAGCTGTGCGAATTTTGATGGCGGATACGGCGCAAAGCCTGGTGCGGAGTCGCATTCGGGCCAGATCCTGACCTGCCTGGCTGCTCTGAGCATTGCCAATAGGCTGGACGTGGTAGATGAGGAGAAGCTCGGAAGCTGGCTTAGCGAGCGACAGACCCCGAGCGGCGGTTTTAACGGCCGCCCTGAAAAGAAGGAGGATGTCTGTTACAGTTGGTGGGTTCTAGCCAGTCTAGCTATCCTCAAGCGGACACATTGGATCGACCGTGATGCCCTCATTACCTTCATCTTGAGCAGCCAGGATTCCGAAAATGGCGGCCTTTCGGATCGCCCTGGTGATATGGTAGATGTTTGGCACACATGTTTCGGCCTTGCCGGCCTCAGTCTCTTGCAATACCCTGGGATGGTGCCGGTGAACCCGGTTTACTGCATGCCCGAGGCCATTGTTGCAAAATGCGTTGGGTCTAATAGATGAGGTCGCTGGTTCAAGCCCTCCACCCTCCACAAACAAACAACGACAGCCGGTCATGATTCTCAACTATTGCCGCGTCTCACCCTCTTGCCATCTAATAACCTGCTAAAGACACCTCCCCGTGATAGCTAGGATACAAGGCGAGAGGAGAATGAAATATGTTGGTTTTTCAGGGGCATATCCCCTCCCTATGGAGATTGCCCCGTAAAGTCCTTCAGACATGCGCCATGGCGTAGATTCAACCAAACCTTAGGTGACGAACTGTACGTAGCACGTACAGGTCTACTAATTGTTTTTCTAGGTAGGTAAATAGCTGGAGCCTTTGGGGCACTGCAAACTGGTGCACCCAGTCCAGACTACGAAGACAAGAAATAAAACTTCAGTCACATCTTAGTATTCCATCACGTCTACTTTTTAAACACTTCGTGCTATTCAGGAAAAGAGCCTTGTGAGAAACCTACCATCTTTATCTTACTCTTTCGCGGGCAAGTGTGCCCGGCTGAATGCCAAGGCCAACCGAAGCAAGCCCCAATAAAAATGTTGACGATGTGAAATTTACCGACTACGACATAGAATTTTGGAGAGCTGTTCTTGTTTTTGGTCAAATGTGGCTATATCTCGTCTAAACTTTAAGCTGATTCGTTCTCAGTTCACCTGGTGATGCCTCGCCCGAGTGTCTCCGCGCAGATGTACCATACATTTTGCCAGCTGGCAAATCATGTCATTGAACTGGTAAACACTCAGGATGGCCGATAGGGAAGGAGCAGGCCGTTCAACGTGAATGTTAGGGCATGAGCCTCTCGACGCAGTTCTACCAACCACCACTCTTCGACACGCTTCTAAAATTGGCCTCAAATTGCTCGCCACCTTGTCCACGGGTCACATTATCCTGCTCCTTCATATTGCACAGTTATTCTCCGTCAAATAAGGTCCTATAAGCTTCTACTTGATATGTTTGGCATCAACTCCCACCATATTGGAACTTCCAGACTCCAATCATAGGGGTAACCTCGCGCTATCGGATCGCAGCTTCCTCCTCTGGGTTTGCCATGGATGGAAGACACAGAATGCCAATTATGGCATTCATGCAAACGGTAAGAGCGTACGATGATATTTCCTGCCCACAGCCGCCTTCGCTTCTGCTACGGACTGGTTGTCATGTTTGGCTGGTTGTTTACTTTACTCTTCCCTGCCTGTGTCAGAACATCTCCGTACCTCAGGTCTCTCCACTTGCTCTTTTCTCAATTCCGCTATCACCTATTGCTTCTTTGCTCCTGTAATTCAGATTGGGCTGCACGTCCTTTTGGTTGCTGCTTTCTTGTTCATTGAACCACACCTGACTTCAGTACTGAACACTCCTGTCAAGAGTTGGAGCCGGGGATCGCATCGTTGGTGCCGACTTCGGGCCCGGCATGTCATGATTCTCTTGCCACCTCGGATTTGTTCAAGTCTAACTTTTCACACCTAGGATATGGAGTCCTCTCTCGAGTCCACGAGAGATTGTACACCGGTTTCAATTAACAAGAACATCCCGCTCCTTTGCACAGTTTGCCCAGAGGCACCCCGCTTCTCGGACGTATCGCATTTACTCACACACATCGCCTCCAAGGGGCATCTGCACCATGAGACACAAACCAAACTCAAGTCCCACCAGGATATCGCGGCATCTATGACCTTGCAGCAGTATGAAAGTTGGTACAAAGCTAATGGAATCGAGGCGCTTCTTGTGGAGAGAATGAAGGCAAAACAGAAGAAAGAAGCAGCAAAGACCAGCCGCACTCGAGATTCAACTCCATCAGTGATATTGAAGGTTAGTAACTGTCCTTGTCGCAGTGTGTATTGAGCAGAAGCACTGACCCAGTGATTAGTCTAGACGGAAGTCCAAGCGAGGCTCCAACAAGACGAAGGTGAAAGCTGAACAAGACGATATGGCCCAAGATTATCCTCTCTTTCCTGGATTTTTCCCCTCTGAAATTGATGCGGAGGTGGATGAAGAGTTTGCCAGCGGTGACATGCTGTCACTCAAGGGCCAAGTTTGGCCGGGCATGGGCAAAATGGACCTTGCAAATGACGATATGAAACGAACTCGAAATCAACGTAAACCCAATTCGGTAATTGAGAAGATGAAACATATTTCCGAGGGAATTGAACCTACCCAGGTTGTCATGACGCCAGATCTAGAGGTCGAGAGGGTCAAGGGGGTCTATGACAGTTCCTCACCTATTCCTGGTCAGGAGGAAGAGGTAGTCTTCTATTCACACAACAGACCCCACGTCGTCGCCATACATGGTACTAACAGTTCCAGACCCCTAAAAAGACGGTAAGACCTAAACGAAAGCGGTCACAAGCGCTCGCCGAAATATCAGTCAACGTGCCTCGCCGTGCTAGCAGACGGCCTGGCCGTCGAAATGGTCAATCCAAAGTCAAGGCGTCTCCAGAAGAGAGCAACGGTGACAGCATCTTGCCGATTGCTGCAAGCACGACCTCTCTTAGACATGGAAACGATGTCTTCCGCGACAACGATGATGATGGAGTTTCTGGTAAGCCTCCCTAAAAATCGAAACTTTGCAGCTGCTGAGTGTTCAGGACTCTACGGTGATCGCATGTTCACAACCCCGTCACGCCAGGACCAAAGGTACAGGCAATCAATATTCTGCTTGATATTTTTTTATACTTAGAATTGGTAGACCTGACATACGCAATCGAATCGGCTTGTTTCCCCATGACCGTGTGTCTCACTCGCCGCTCATATCCCCGACGCCTTCGTCTAGGGACGTATCGTCTCGCTTATTTCCAGCAAGAAATATACAGCGCCCAAGGATACAAGGGAGTGTTTATGAGAACTATGGTGGACACACGAACTTTGGTGGGTTGCCATGTCGGTTTTTTTTTTTTTTTCAATTACTTGCCATTTATTGACATTCAATAATTTCAGTTGGCCAACCCGAAGCCACATCTTTTACTATGAACGACCCATCGATATACAACTATTCCTCCAGGCTGCCATTTTTATCTTGCAACAATGTCGGTAGTTCAGGGAACTACATGTTTCGCTTCAATTCGAACAGTCTTCTGCAACCGAAACCGGAACGGCATCAAAGCCCTGGACATGGGGAGATGGTTAATGGGACCGGAAACCCCCAATACCTGCATATCTCTGAATCAAATCCGCTTTTCGCTCAGGATCGACCGGTTTTCGGCTCATACAGTGCTACAGGGCCATCTCAAACACTCTCTTCTTTCGGTTTACAACCAATAAGTCGCAGCGGCGATTACAATCAAGCAGCAGCGAACAACCAAGAAGACCACGCCACCACGAGTTGCAGCATCAAAATGGAGAGCCATTACAGCGATATGATGGCCAACGTAGCAACCGGAGAGTGTAAGCAAACTAGCTTCACAGAAAATGAAGTATGGGCGAGTACCGAGACGTTGGACTTGTGAGCGACGCACGAATATGCATCACCAATGCCTTCAGCATCATTATCTTATGGGTGAAACTGGGTCGAGCATCGATTTTACGGTATCATGGACATACATTTCGGTTCTTGGGTTTTTTACTGGTCTTCTCCAGAGAAATGCACTGTTATATAAAGCGGCGAAAATTAATGCACGGGACGTTCACCAATTCATTATGGGGTATCCATCCATATCAACAGCGGCATTCATACTATCTTCTTACCGGCTTATACGGCGTCTCCGCGCTGAATGAAGTCTGAAGTCCTCTTGTGCCGTCGCTCTTTTCAAATCCTTATTCAATCTCGATACCACGTCAATTTCTGGGTTACTGCATGAGGTTAATACGCATCATATCGATATGTCAAAGGGGTGAACGGCGGAAATAAAGTATAAACACAGTCTAGGAGGGCACACCTCCTGAATTGGGAGATACATGGTAATGTCTGCACTCAAGTGATGCTATCACTTGTCTTTCATTAGGAGTTCTATGATCTCAATACTACTACTATTGATGCACCTGCTCCAAGGGCATGTATAGGTCAAAAGACGGAATAGCTCACAATTATATACCGCAACCGCCTTGCAAGTTCCGACATCTGCACGCACAGTGATGCCTCACAACTGCTCAATACTCGCAATCAAATGCTCTAGCTGATCTGGTCCATCGCTCATTACTTCAGCTAGCATTCGGCTGGCCCCTTTAAGGCGCCGCATCCTCATATCCAGTTCCATCTCACCAGATTTATTGGCCGCCACATCAATGACCTTTTTGGGAATCCGCGCAAGACGCGCAACATTCAACCCATAGGATCGATGAGCAACCCCTTCGCCCACTTCATAGAGAAACGTGATCTCCTCATCACCATCAGGCCCCTTGCCAGCTTTAAATCTCATGTGCAGGTTACTAACACCAGGCAGGCCTTCCACCACTCTAGCCAGGTTTTGGTAATGCGTGATGAATAGCGTGAGGCAACGCGTCTCAGTTGCTACATGCTCCAAAACTGCTTGAGCAATGGCGGCACCATCGTGAGTGCTGGTCCCGCGACCAAGCTCGTCGAGAATAACCAGGCTCCGTGGAGTGGCAGAGCGTAATATTCGTGCTGTTTCAGATACTTCCACCATGAATGTAGATTCCCCTGCGAAGAGGTTATCCCTTGCGCCGGTACGAGTGTGAATTGCATCACAGAGCGTGAGGGAGATGGCATCTGCGGGGACGAAGGATCCGATCTGTGCGAGGAGCACGATGAGGGCGAGGGCGCGGACGTAGGATGATTTGCCGCCCATGTTGGGACCTGTGATGAGGTGTGCCAGGGGCGAGGGATGGGCGAGGGTGGTGCTGAATGGGATGTAGCCCGATTCGATGGTATGTTCTGCAATGGGATGCCGACCTTGGGTGATGGCCACTGTAGGCTCGGATGAAGATGGTAAGAAGGTTGGTTTATTGTATCCTGGCTGAGCGGCGACCTTGGATAAGGAAAGGAGACAATCGAGTGACGCGAGTGATGAAACGGCATCACGAAGTGGCTGGTAGTCGGATGATATCTCTGCGAGTAAATCCTTGAATGCCTTGTCGCAAGCGGCGGCGAGAGCTTCGCGGTGTTGATCTCGCTCGCTAATCATGCGCATTACTTCGGGGGTATGGAAACGAGATACTTTCTTGGTGCCCGAGATTTTGCTCCACGATGCAGGGACATTTTTTATGTCGCTGTTGGGGACTTCAATGAGGAATTCTATGCCTGCCACTGTCACGTAGTCGACCTTTTTCTTTTTCAGCTTCGCGGCGGCCACTTTGAGATGTTCGCCTAGTTCATGCTCTACGTGTGCAATGCCCATCTGCTGGTCTTGAATGTCTTCGGTTTGATAGTCTTCTCGGAAGAAGGCATACTTGTCGTCCTTTCGAGCGGCTTCGAGGTTGATTCTCTCGAGGTAAGACACGACTGTGTTGAGAATTTGGGGAAGTGCGTTGATGGAGGTCGCGAGGAGAGGAGACGAGAAGGGGTTGCCGGAGGGTGATTTGATGGAGGAGTAGTGCGTGGCAATCTTTTGGAGGGTGTGCAGGACGGAAAGGAGTTCGGGACGCGTGCATTTCCCGTAGTAGATGCGAATGAGACTGCGCTCGAGGTCCGTCTTGGTTGTGGCAAGGAGTCTCTCGAGATCGTCAACCGGCGCTGTGGATTGCTTGTTGAGAAGTTCCTCGACAGCAGCGAGTCTCTCGTCGAGACGGTCTTGGTCTAGCAGGGGACGGCCGACCCATTTTCGGAGAAGACGCTGCCCGAAGCGGGTGAGCGTCTTGTCTAGAGCCCAGAAGAGACTGCCTCGTTCTGCGTGGTCCGTGGAGTTGCGGTAGACCTCGAGGCTCTCGAGGGTGGTGCCGTTGACGAGCATGTGTGACCGGGTAGTGAAGCTGTGGAAATACTTGGTAAGATCAAAAATGTGTTCCAGCCCGTACTCCTTGAGGTGGTTGATCATGGCTGACAAGCATATCGTGACTGGCTCGGGAAGCTTGAGCACCTTGTCAAGTAGAGCACTAGCGGTCTCGTTTTGCGACGTGTCCTTGAGCTTGTCGGCATAGAATTGCGTGACGTGCGAGTAGGCTTCTGCCGCCATTGTGGGTGGCCGAGGCACCCGCTCTACTCGACTTCGGTCGCCGAAGACATTGGTGCTGCTTCCTGATAGGTGCTGAACCAGTTTGTCGGTTCCCTTGGTGAGATCGCCCACTATGAGGAACTCACAGGGTGAGATATGCAGCAGTCGCGTTTCGATCTCGCTTCTCATGAATCCATCTTCGAAGTTGTCGTGGATGATGTCGCCAGTTGCGGGTTGGACTGCTAGTATGCCGACGTCTACTTTTTCATCGGTTCCGCTTCCTTTGGATTTGGTCTCTGTTATGCAAAGCAAATAGCCGCCGGCTGGCGCTCCTTCCGCTCGTTGATCCAGCTCGCCAACTTCGTCAATATATGTTCCTTTTGTGTAGACATTGGTCAGCTTTCGGACGAATGGGGTGTTGCGATTGTCGCCTGCTTTTTTCAGTGCAGCGGTTTCTATTTGTCGAACCACGCCAACTTTGTGTCCTGCTGCTACAAGCCGCTTCGCGTGAACAGAGAGTCTGTGGACAGGGACGCTTGCTGAGGCGAAACGATCGAGGTGTGCTTCGGAAGGATCTGCGAAGGTGTTGGTAAGAGATCACACGGGAGCTTTCAATAATATTCTGGTACATACGCTCATCATATCGCATTTTTCCAGGTATGCAAACGATGCCAAGTTCCTTCGCCGCGGTTCTGGCATCCTCTCCGAAGAATCGAAACTTGTAGCCGACTTCGACAATTAGAATCGTATCCAGATGCTTTCTCTTGATGTCTAGGAACTGAATCTCCATGGGCGTGAGTTTGCCGCTCTTTGCGCCCTTCTTCTTTGCCTTTGCGGGCGCTGGTGATTCGTCTTCGTCCGCATCTTCTGCATCGCCATCCTCGCCTCCTGCGGCCCCCTCATCTTGGGCCACCCTTGACCTCCGGGCCATGGCATCAGGGTGACCCAGTTTCTTTACAAATTGCCGATGTAGATCTTGATTCCTATCTCTTACTTGGTCATCCTCGTCGTCATCATCTTGTGTCGATTGAGTTGCAGGCTTAGTTCTTGAGCCGTTGTACAGATAGCGACCAGCCCGGGGTGCCGCTACAGCACCCGAAGAATTAGTCGGCTTGCGCGTGGCGATGAATGTGCTCTTCTCTCCATTGACGTGATTCTCGTCGCCTCTGGGCCTTTTCGACGACCTCTCCTGCCCTTCATTTCCGTTGTCGGTGTTCTCCTCAAGGGGTCGCTTGCGAGGAGGAGACTCGGCGTCATGGTTCACGGCAGCGTCTGCTGCGAGAGCTTCAGTCTGCGGCTTGGGGTGAACAGCAAGTCCATCGACGGCTTTGGGGGTGAAAAAGGAGATCAATGACTGCTGTTTCTTCTCTGCAGACTTTGGTTTCGGAGCCATGGCTCACTGCACATGGCCTTGTTGGCAAATGGTATGGTCCCGAACCGGTTCCCATTTGTAACATTCAGATTGTTCGTGTCACCTTCAGAAAAGTTGTCGCGTCTGTCATCAGGAGTTGGACGCGTTGAGTGCAGCAGACCCGCTTTTATCCGTTTTGGGTGCTGAGCTTCAGCATGTTTCTCATCCAAGACTCTGGAGTAATTCACCTCTGGAGTGCATGGTAGAAATCGGCTGCTCCAAGGTGAACGCACAAGCTGCCAGTTACCTTTCGTACTGGCGGGAGAAGGCACTGGAGATTTTGACACCCGGAATGCATTATTCAGTGTGTAATGGAACGAGACAAATGTTCGTTCCATCGCTGGTTCCTGGGTTTAGTTAGATCAATGCTTGCGCTGGGACAGGATGATCACCCCCTGCGGTGTAGTCCAGTAATACACTGGAGACTTTATGTGAATGATTGCCTAGTAATTAGTACTAGGTATTCATGTCCACATAGCATATGACAATCTTGATTTCTAGCGTCACGACTCTAAAACGAGTAGTACGTGTATTCCCACACTACCCTATATGAGGATCCTGGTCTAGACGAAAACGCAAAGCGGTAAAAAGCTACCTCCCACCAAAGAGAGGCGACAAAGAATGGAAGAGAACGGATTTTGCTTGACACGAAAGCTCATGGAATCCAAAGAGTTGCCCGCCCGACAGCTTTAAACCGACAGACGACCAGTAAAGCCATTATCCCGAGGTAGACCGATTGTACGCTTGTGGGTAAACCCTCTTCGCTAAGCCAATAATGTTGGTGGGCAACCCGAATGAAGGTGGGTACCCACTCGCTTGTGTTGAGCTATATAAGTAAAAATATGGCACCGTCTTTCAACAATCAGAAAGCAATTTGGCGCAGTGGAAGCGCGCCGGGCTCATAACCCGGAGGTCGTACGATCGAAACGTACAATTGCTAATATTTTTGGGTTTCTTCACCATGATCTGTCGTGTATTGATTGAATCTCGCATTGTTCATTTTTTGATCACACTAGCGATTGAAGACCAGAATTTTTAGGAAGGTTGGTGTTATGCGAAGCAAAGGTCGGGAAGGCACGAGACCAGGCGTGTGGTCAGCGTCGCCAATCTTGTGTGTATACCTTGGTATACGCTATTAAAATATTGATACTTTTTGATGTGTAAGTAATCTGCCACAGACATTCATTCGACCCGCTCAGATAAGGGCATTGCGAGAGAGAAGAAGAGAAAACGAAAGCAACAACGCCCGCTTTGGTCCTGAGACCGTACTTAAACCTCATTGTCGCAAAATAACACCAACAGAACTCATTTTTTTTCAAGTTCCAAATACTACACCCTGGTGCTTCCATCGCCGACCGTCGTTGTTGCCCAAACGCCTATTCCACAGCCCCAAGTGTCCACAGCCCTCCTCTGCGTCGGATAAGTTTTGGAAAAAAAGAGGAAATAGACAAATGGAGAACGCCTCTCACTACGGCCACGAGGCGCAAAAATATTAGCAATTGTACGTTTCGATCGTACGACCTCCGGGTTATGAGCCCGCAACCTAGTTCAGGTTTCTCAGTTGCCGCGCCTATTCTCCTACATTGGTCCAAGTCAAGAAGATGCGGAATTGGACATGTGGTTAATTGACGTTGAATCCAAGCTCGAATCACTACATGTTTGGCCTATACTTGGGGGTGTATGAAAATACATAGCCTACGGATTTTATTAAGCCTGGTAGTAATTTCTACCTCTGGTAGTTTGTCGCCCAGTGAGTAGGCTTTTTTGCTTCCATACTTGTGCCCATCCAGCATTGAAGATACCTACCTACTTAACTTAAGTACCTATTAAGTACCTACCTAGGTAGGCACCTGCTTAAGTACTTTAGGTAGGTAATTAGTTCTTGCAAATGTCCAGACATGGACTACATATCAAGACAACATGAAGGCCGCATCCCAATTTTTTTTCATCCCAACGCCCCGAATCTTCCAGTCCTTGACAAGTCAAACAATGCTATCCAATCCGTGTTCTATTTCCCCATCCTTGTGCATCCTCGTCCTTCCCCCCGAGTTCTGCCATTTCTGGCTCCAACTTCTTGTAACCATGATACCCCCTTCAACCAAGCTCTTGTCGCTTGCTGTATCGGACACCTCCCATACTTGGTGGTCATTCTGAGAACGCCTGCTGCTGCCCGTCGGCTCTTTTGATCTGGCATTTGAGCGATACCCAGATGGGTTCATATTTGAACTACCGTCCGGTTGGGCGCGGGATGCAATGACACGACCGCGGATGAAAATGGCAAAGGACGGAAGGCAGCCAACAATGATCGCTAAGATTGTGAGTATATGCCATGTTGACGACTTCTGCAGAAAGCATTCAATTTCCACGGGTGCACGTACCGACAGCTCCCTCGATCCCAGCCCACTGTGGGAAAAGGTCAGTTTGTGCGCATCCAAACGGTTGAAATCAACAAGACGACATGGACGTACCAGTATGAGCCACGTTGTGCTGACTTGTCCCGACGACACGCTTGACTCTAACGAAACGCTTCGGATAATGGCCGTAGCCATGGTAAGAATGCCGACGAGGAAGACGACGCCAATACTAATCTTCTCGACAGGCGAGATTCTCAAGTTCCAAATGACACGGACTGGGACAGCCATGACTATTTCATGTCAGTTCATCACAGTCCAGCCGGAGAATGCCCCAAGTCAAACTTACTCAACAGGTCGGTCGCCAAGTCTGCGCCGAGGCTGAACCACAGACTAATGTCCTTTGCCCTTGAATCCCGAGCCGTCGCGCATTCCCCTGCCGTAAACCAAGCATGCATGGACGAGCAACTGGTGAAGTTGCTGATGCAGCATCCGATAAAGGTCAAGACGGAGAATACAAGGACCGCCCACCAAATCCTGTTGTACAGAGGCAACCCGTCTGTGAGTCTCTTGAACGTGAACAACAAGCTCCACTTGACGGACCAGAGCGTCAGCCAGAAGAAGAACTGGACCGTGAAGAATTCGTAGAGCATGACGCGCACGTCGTGCTCCAAACTGGCATATGGCTTCATCTCCCCGGCGGCGATGGCCATGACGTTGAAGAAGGTGTCAATCGTGGCGTAGTAGAGCGCGCAAGTAATGGCAAACGACACCAAGGCGAGGTACATGAACAAGTCTTCCATCTCAGCTGGTACTCTGTGATTCTTGAACCATCGTGCGCCGGTGCGCATTATGACGAAGACGGTACCGACGCATAGAGATGCGATTACACCTCTCTGTGTAGGAGTTAGTTCAGTAGATTCCTTTTCAGAGGCCTCAGGCCTATTTCGGTTAGATATTGAGACTGGTGAGGGCGAAGTGTACCTCGTCGGCTTCTCGAGAGACATTTTGTGACATCATCGAGGCAGTCTTTGCGGCAGGATCCGCGCACCGTGGATCGATTTACAGTAATTCAAATCTCTATTCATTCATGATGTCTCTAGGCAATCTTCAGAAAACATGAAGCAGGCCGGGTTATATCAAATTCGAATCGACTCAATCCACGTGATGACAACGGATCTCACTGTCCTTGTAAAGGCATCCTCCGTCAGCCATATCACAGGGCGTGTCGCATGCTAAGCAAACCCAATGACATGTCCTTGGTTGGGGCTGCCGTACCGGCAATCCTCGAGACACAAGATGCCCTGATTTTCCCATTCTCGTATTAGTTTACCAGGGAGGTATGTAATGCTGACATGGAATAAGGCCCGTCGGTTCCAGAATGAGGTTTTGGGGGGGGGGATTGACTGAAGAGCGACGGTTTGGCTGATATGACGAATACAGTCCGGGACAGATATATGGAAGAATGCATTCGCCCATCGAGAAGTATACACTAATATACTACAGTATATTATTGTATAGAGCGGGATGGCCAGGTACTTGACCTGGTTATAGCCTTTTGTGTCCCACTGTATGTCATATCGCTGCCACAGCCAAAGGAAAAACGTGAGACGCCTCCAAACCTTCTCAAGCCAGCCCTGAGAATCGCTCGAGGCTTATCCGGATGGGATCGACGGATGGAACAGAATTTGAGACTTTGGCGGCCTCGAGCCAACAAAACAGCTGTTGTGGCACAATGGGAAAAATCACAAAGAGGTGATAACGATAAGGATGGCTCCGGCATTGCCTTGTGAAAAAGTGTCCTCATCTTAAGCCTCTGAACGCACTCCATGACGACTTGCGTATAGTAGTAGCCCGAGTGAATATCAACAGGCTTTGCTCATCATCGGCAAGTGACCCAAGCGAGCAGTTTGACAGTTAAAACCGGGGTATACGAGGCGCCACCGGGGGCAGCATGTCGAGAGTTTTACAACCAAGACCGAATTGTCAGTCGGCAAACTCAGGAGTACCCCGTAAGCAGCAGCCACTTGGGGGCGACCTTGGTCACCCTCGACACGCCATGATAAGCCACCATAATGGGCAGTGCAAAGGGCAGTTTCCGAAAGGCGCCTGAGCCGATCCCATGCCTCGAGTTCTTGCGACGGGACGGGTGTCTTGCAGTGCCTCGCTTGGGAGACGATGATGATGCGGGCTGGACATGGGCATGCGGTACAGAAGGGTGTTCCAGTGCCGTCCAGGTCCCCGTTGGAACCCTCCTAGGCCTGTTGAGGCGTCTGCCGGCGTTTGTCGAGTCTATTCTGATGCATGTCGACGGCGCAGTTCCCCAACTTGGATCGATGGGCGCAACCTTGGAGGATTCGATATCGACTAGACGGAGCCTTAAATGTTTTAGTGGTCAAGATTGAAGTCCTTGATGTTAGCACGTGCAGGGGGCCCTCAACGGGGTGCTTAGCGGGAGAGACGCCGCCCCGCCCCCGGCCCGTCAATCAATCCACCGCCAATCCACTCTCCACCTTTCACATCCCCTTCAATCTTCCGTCTTCTCCGCTTCTCCATCTTCAATCAACTCCCAGCCAGCCGCCACACCGAGCCGGGAAAACGCTCCGGTCTACTTGGGCTTGATATTCCCTCAAGCTAGGTCATAATGGCCCTAATTGCGGGAACAAACATGGCATGCTGCACTACGTAACAGAGAGAACGGCGGCCATCTACTTACCCGAAATGCACAATGCAATCCATGAAACGACACACATGATAAAGTGTCGCAATTCCCGTCAAGGACTCCCCAGCATGACGGGGGGGAGAAGGACGACGATCTTGTGACTTAGCTCTTGGACCATTCTCGTCCATCAATTCGCCATCCACGCCGTTCTTCGACTTCGTCCAGACTTTCCGACCCCTGAAGGAGCCCCTCCATCTCCTCCATCCTGCAGGCCAAACTAGGTGTCTCCTACCAAGACAGCACAGTACCTGCAGCTCAACCTCCCCAGCTTGTCCTGATCTGGCTTCAGCATGCAGCTTCTGGGTCTTGGTGCCATGCTTCTAGCCCAGCTGGGTGTCAGTGCCGCGACCTTCACCTTGAGTGAGGTTCAGGCACAGATCGAGGCTTATCAAGAGCAGAATGGAACCCACGTTGCGCCGTTCGATCCCCAGTTTGGCTGTACTCTAGCTGTAAGGCACTTGCCCGAGTCTTGTAAAGCCGCTCAGAAAACCTGCGACTGGCCGCTAATACACGCTGTAGTGTGGCTTCTTAGCCTTCAGCCGGCCTGGAAAGCTTTCATACCCCAATAGCTTGGCTTATGAATTCGAGGAGTCACGGTACTGGTCACAGCAACAAGCCTTCACTCGTCCCGCCTGTAGATTTACACCAGGTGCGGCAGTCGACGTGTCGCTTGCTGTGCTGACGTCTCGTGTGACACAGTGCAAGTTTGCCGTCAAGAGCGGTGGCCATGCCGCCTTTGCTGGTGCCTCCAACATTGAGGGTGGCTTGACGCTGGATCTGAGAAACCTGAACCGGGTTGTGGTCTCTGCTGATAAGAAACAGACATCCGTTGGCGCCGGAAATATATGGTACGACGTTTACACCAAGCTTCAGCCCATGGGCTTGACGGTCGTTGGAGGCAGAGTGTCTGCTATTGGCGTCGGTGGCTTGACTCTGGGCGGAGGCATTTCATTCTTTTCTAACCGATATGGCTGGTCTTGTGACAATGTCAATAACTTCCAGGTAGGTCGACTGACGGTCTTTGCGGTCTTGTCCATGTGTAAGCCCTGGCCAACTAACCGTTGGACAGGTTGTGTTCGCCGACGGATCTATCCGTCATGTTAATCCCCGTGCCTACCCTGACCTGTACTGGGCACTTCGTGGTGGAGGAAACAATTTTGGTATCGTGACTCGCTTCGACCTCGCGACGTATCCTCAAGGTGATATGTGGGCTGGCTCTCAGGCCTTCCTTCTCACCAATGAAACGGCGACTGCTATAAACAATGCCTTTTACCACTTGGCCATCAACTCGCCGCAAGATCCGTACGCTCAGATCATTATTGCATATGCCTATGTCCAGTCCCAAGGCGTGTATGTTATTGCTTCCGATCTTCAGTACGGAAAGCCCACTCCCAACCCGGCTATTTTGAACAATTTTACCTCAATCAAAGGACCTGTTGCAGACACGCTCCGTGTTACCAACCTGACGGGCCTGACCCTTGAATTCAACAGCAGCAACCCTGGCGGCTTCCGGTGAGTCTTAGCGTATTGCTTGACCTGCAACGCGACAACTAACAATGTGCTCAGACAAACCTATTGGGCTCTCACGACTGGCAACGATGCCGGTTTGATGTCCGAAATGGTTGCCATCTACCAGGATGAAGTTGAAAAGATCAAGGACACACCTGGGATTGTCCCCTCGGTGATTTTCCAGCCCATTTCTACGGACATGACCAAGCTTATGTCCAAAAACGGCGGTAATCCCCTGGGTCTCGCCGGCCAAGGCCCCCTAAACTGTATGTTTGTTCCTTTGATCCGTGGCCATGCCCTTCATTGTTTCTGACCACGCGCAGTGATCAACATTGACATCTCGTGGTCCAACGAGGCCGACGACATGCGCATTATTACCGCCGCCCAGAACATGGCCACTCGCTTCGCCGCAGCTGCCGAGGCAAAGGGCTTGGACCACCCATATCTGTACCAGAACTACGCGGCTCTGCAGCAAGATGTCTTTTTGAGCTACGGGGAGGTCAATTTGGCGAGGTTGAAGTCCATTCAGGCCAAGTATGATCCCACCAAGGCCTGGCAAAAGCTGCAGCCAGGATACTTTAAGCTTGGATAAGGTAATTCTAGAATCATATACATAAGTGTGTGTTTGTGTGTATTGCCACGGGTCTCTGGTTGCAAATACACCGTAGAACCGTGACATACCAAAGGGAACACTGGATAGTAATCAATATATGTATGTATCAATAGACGTAGGCATCTGTATATAGCCTGTCAAGCTTACATTGCCGTCCTGTGCAATTTCTTTCAAGATGGAGACTTTCGGGAGATATATGGAGTTAGGCTCGTAATAGTAACGACGATAGAGCACTTGTATCGAAGCCATTCTCATCCTCGCACCTCATATCTGTTCAGTCGAGGCAGTTTATATCTCTAGTATTTTTGTGCTTCATCTCCCATGATCCAATAGTTGTCTAGGGCAGATTCGCCGCTGCCGCACTCTCTTGACAAGGAACATGGCCATGGTTTCTATAATGCAAATTCAAAAGAGAGTTTTGGCCGAGGACAGGTACCTTGGTTCGGAGGCTCGCGAGATGTCCCCTCCTTTCCCGAGGCCAGCTACTACTATTAACATGAAACCTCGTGCTCAGCATCATACTGGACTCTGCATCTCTGCCCGAACAGTCGCGTCCTAGAGACCAGAGACCCACTCGCTATACCGTAGCATTTCTTCTTGATGTGACTGATACTTTTCTTCCCAAGTTTTCGTCCGTTGGACAGATTGCGGGCTTGCGTTGAGTCATCTCGAGGACCTGCCGTCTGGTAGCCGCGTTTTGAGCGCGTGCGGGTCTCCTTGTTTCTCCACGACTATTGAATTTGGGCATCAATGATGAATCCAGTCGTAATCACTGGATGGATACTTGGGTAACGGGTTCCCAGTTAATGCGGGCTTTGGTCGACGTGTTTCCGAAAGTTGCAAGCCTAGATTGCTCGCTAGCACGGTGGATATATTTTGGTCGTCTTGTCCCACTCAGGCAGATATAAACATACCATGTTGAAAAATATTTGGCATCATGTAGCATCGACTGGGACTCAGCAGACGGATATTAGTCAACAAGAGTATCCATATATGCAGCCTGCACATAAACTATATGTATTATTAGCAATCAAATACGACCCATCTATCATTGGGCGCGCGAGAATAGTGGTTGACAGATTTGCAATAACTCTCTTGCTCCTATTGCAAACTGCTTATGCCTTCCACATTGGTGCGAGGGCCGCTATGATCGCAGACCGCTACAACAAACGCTGCCAGTTGACGGGATGATGCTGATTGATGACTGCGCTAGTAATCAAGAAACGGCGACAAAGGGCCCAGTCAACCCCTGCCGGTCATCAGTCGCCCGCATTTGACCCAATGTCGAGCATTTGAGACTCCACACCGGGCATGTATCCATCCCATCAGTCGACGATCGCATAGACGAGGCAGATGTCCCCATGCATTTGCAGAGAGGAGCTTGGCCGGCCGATGAACATCCAGAGTTGCTGGAGAAGCAGCCGACGCATCGTGTGCAGTATGTAGTGCGTAGTACCGAATCGGAGCCCAGACTTGCGGAAATTTGAAATACAGAGTACGGAGTACACATATGCAATTGATCTGTGGTGTTCGATATTGTATATTGTGGTTGACCTTGTGCGCCTACCAGCCCCTCGATTTTCCCCATCGTTCCTTCCCAGCCCCAGCTTCAATCATCAGCACTTGAGCCCCGACCCGCTTCCAGAGATTGACACTGTCCAAGCTCGCCCTCTGTTCTCTGTCTTGCAGACTGCAGCTGCAACCTGCACAAACCCGCATCGTCGGCGGTCTGGGCATCCAACCTTTCTCCTGAGCACAGATCTGCTCTGCTCTCCCACTGCAAGAAATCACCGTCGCATTGCCCTCCAAAACGAGCAAGTTGGACAACAGCCGCTCTTGACCATCTCAGTTTAAGGTTGCCGTCAAGCTATTTAAGCCTCCCCGCGGAGCTACCAGTCCTACCTACCTTGGTATCTACCATCCAGAGCAATTGCCTGCGCCCTTGGCATCTTTGCGTAGCCGGCACAATACAGCAATGGGCTTTCTCGATCCCTTCACCGATGGCCTCTCCATCGGCCCCGGCGGCATGTCCCGCCCATCCAAACACCGCCGGGATGCTTCTCGGTCGCGCAGGAAGCACCGTTCCCGCTCGCGATCAAGCTCTCGCACCCGCGGCGGCGGCGGCGGCGCCAACTCAATCGCCGGCGCTCTGTTGGGCGGCCTAACCGGCGACAGCCACTACAACAAGCACAATTCGTCGCGGGGTTCCTTCTTCGGCGTCGGCAACAACAGCCGCTCGAGCTTCTTCAACTTTGGTGGTGGTGGTGGTGAGTCGTTGGCCGCACATTGACCCCATGGTGGTCCTGTTTCGCTAACACGCAATGCGGCAGGGAGTCGGTCCTCGTACTACAAACGGTCCCCTCGGCAAGGCTTCATGCAGCGAGCGTACAAGCGGCTCAAACGCCTCATCCGAGATCTCATCCACTATGCCAAGCGCCACCCGTGGAAGGTCTTTTTCCTGGTGGTCATGCCCCTCGTCACCACGGGGGCATTGGCCGGCCTGCTTGCCCGCTTTGGCTTGCGCATCCCGCCGTCTCTGGAGCGCATGATGGGCATGGCCTCCCGCGCCGCCTCGGGCGACTCCTTTGGGCTCGTCAGCGACGCCGTCCGCATGGCCGGCGACTTTGGCGGCAACACCCGCGGCGCCAGCATCTCCCGTGGCCGTGACGGCGGCATGCAGTGGGAGCGACGATCTAGCTATGGCAGCTATGGCGGATATGATGACTACGGCTATGGCAATTCCACGGGCCGTGGCGGCTACGGCGGGAGCGGCGGGAGCGGCGACAGTTGGAGCAATACCATTGCGGACGTGGCCAGGCGATTCTTTTGAGCTCTGCCTTGGAAATATACCCTTTCATAGCAGGCGAGCAGAGTACTTGATGAGCATGAGTTTTCATTCGCTGGCGTATTTGGCGTATTTGGCGTTTTATGGGTGATGGGATATTTGTTTTTTAGGGATCGGCAATAGTGCTTGCGAATTGTTGGTTGTGTTGGGGCTGCGTCTGTCCCATTGTTCACTTAGAGGTGGCCATGTCTACGCTCGTTTGTGGTTGTCATGTAGGCCATTATTCGACGATTCAATCTATACAATTTCATCCATCGTTTTGGGGCATGCTACTGCGCAGCGGAACTACGAACAAGACGAGCGCCTAGTAATCCATCAATCTGAAGGGGGACTCAACATGATTCACAGTCATCGGACAGGCAAGCAATCACGAAGTAGCGCAAAGCAGTCACATTAAAAACAAAGTATTCATAATGTATAAATTGTAGTTATCATTCATTTACACCTCCGCTTCGCAATTTCTACCAAAAATCTACCTCTTATATCCCATCGTCGCCTGCCCGGCGCCATCTTCGATCCCGCGCCCAATGCAAAATATGTCCAACGGAAGGAAATAAAATAACAAATACCACCCCCCCCTTGGGCACAAGGCCAAACAAATACCACGACTATTTTCAAATCGTGGTACCTGAATCTTCGGTTCCTTGCCCGCCTCTACCCGTTAAGACATGCATGAAAGGGATAAAGCAGATAAGAAAAGACATGCTATGTGTTCATGCTCAAAATAACAAATGCTCATGCAAAAGTCATCAAACGCCACATGCCCCATGTCTTTCTGTGTGAGGCGGCTTGGATTCAAATCTGTCGATTGTATGCCCCCTTTTCATCCTCAGCACTCCGTTTCAACGTGCCATCTGAGAAGAGTACAATATCGGATATATCGTGCCCATTCTCATAGTCAGTTGCTTTCGATAATGACGCCTGCAACGTCTTACCGCTTGATCAGAATTGTTGCTCACAAGGTGGGACCTGTCAAAAGCTGAATAGATGTCGTTCTTCGCAACACATTATACAGTGATTGCAAAATGCGCAGGTACGTGATAATCCATATTCATTCGTAATAATATTTGATGATGATTTTCTTTTCCTCTCTTTTTTTTAAATTGCTTTTTCCCATCAAGTTTTCTCTTCATGTTCGCTGCTGCAAAGTAATGCAAAGTGAAAAAAAGTTGGCATGTTCTCGCTGTGTCCATGACTTTGCATAGCAAGGCTTGTTTCGTGGCCAATGTGATTCAGGTTGGGCTCGACTCCTTGTTTGGCTTCCAAAATTGCATCATGCGCCCAAGCCTTCTTGTCTTGCTGCTCTTTGACCGACTTCTTTTGCCTTCTGTCTCATTATCCAAGGTCACTTCCATGGAAAGCTTACTCCTCTCGCCGTGTGAGCTGCTGATGAGTCGACTCAGTGACACAAGACTTGATCGACGGCGTCCAAAAGCGGCCGAGGAAACTGACGATGGACGTTGCTCCCGGAGGCTTGGCTGTGACATGCGTGCACTGGGTATGAAGGCGCTGTCCCGAGTCATTGTCGAGTTGCTTGAGGTGAGCGACGGAATATCGTAGTCAACTGAAATCCGCACCTCAGGACCAGGTTCGCCCATCAGCAGCGAATGGAAGCTGTTCTCATCAGTGACGGACGAGGGGGCAGTAGAGATTCGCTGGGCGTCGATGGACATAGGTGATCTTGGTGAGGGATAAGATGAGGCATGACTTGTCGAGTATGGACTGGTGGGCATTGCTTGATTTGTCTCAACCATCGACAAATCTCGTTGTCCAGGTGGCATTCTTGGAGAAGACGAAGTCGACCCATGTTGATCAGCTGGTAAGCCCGGGAAGACCGGACCACCACGGAAAATCATAGGCACAGGCTCTTCATTAATAACGTCTTCGTGCAGCGACGTCCTGGAGCATTCTGCGCGAACTGCATGGGCAGAAGTTGAGTGGTCAGTGTTGCATGTGCCAGAGCTTGCTTTGCGACGAACTGCCGCAGCTTCCAGCTCATCCACACCAAGAATCAAAGAGTCTGCTGGGACAAGCTCTGTGGCGGGTGGTGTTATCTCCCCGTCTGAATCGTCATTCTTTTGGGTGCCGACCTCATCCAGGGCAACTTCGGCCTCCTTGAGGTCGTCTTCACCCT